TATATGATGTAAAATTATGCAATTCTGGTAAAATTCCAAAATTTTGACCCAGTCACAGTCAAAATACTCCCGGGTATGTTCGTATAATATTTATATTTGCTACCTGGTACGTACGTGCATACGTATACATATCAATTTATAGAATTTATTATGCCGGAAATCATAAATTTAACCGAATCGGCAGAAAAATCATTCGGCCACTTTAACAGGTGTCCCAAGAATTATGATAATAGCTGTAATGCAAAAAAATATATATATTATACATATTATATATGTTGTCGACTCTGAATACACTAAACTCAAAACATGATATTTCACAATAGTTCGGTCAGATGTTTAATAAAACATAGCAATTTTTTATCACTTTTCTTTTTTAACCAACTTTTTTTTACAGTCAGTTCATTATAGAAAAAGTTGAGACTGTATGTAATTTTTTTATTAATGCTAAGCGTTTTCAATTAAATAAACCAATATTTCATATGCTTTGCAACATCTATACAATATTGCAGACTTTCGTTTTCGACATTCTAAAAACAATTGTTTTTTTTTTAATCGCTGATTTGGGGTTTTTTTGACGTTTTTTAACAAATTATGTCAAGTGATTAAGTTTTTAACTTAAATTCCGCGTGTTTCTATTTCTCAAACTGTGTTTTTTTGCTTTACTAAATTGCTGTAAATGCAATGTTTTACTTCTTCAAAAATGACTTTGATCCCTTTAACTGGATAAGTTTTTGTCAGGTGCATCGCGTTGTTGATTTTTCTTGAAACATATGAACCGCTTCAAAGCATCTATCTTATTTAATATTAATGTTTGCAAATTATCACGTTTTCCGAAGTGACTTTAGGTTTTAATAGTTCTCGATACTTATAGATCGGTGGAAGTATTTGGTAGAATGTGTAGATAGCTTCATATATCCAATAGTTTGTTTAGGTTCTAATTTATATTGTAACTTTAACTTACAAGACAGTGAACAGTATACAATAATAAAATATGTGACTTTAACGAACTTTGCAAAAAGAAAAACTTAGCAATATTATTATTTAGATAAAATTTTTAATATTTGCATAAATTAATTATGTAATGAACACACATAATTTCTTTAACGTTATAGTTCGATCATACTATAGTTCCGATCCAATTATCCAGACGACCTGGTACACATTTTCTGGATCATAGGCAGAAGTTTGTCTGATTGGCTAATAAATTCAATTTATTTTTAGATTATTTATACAGTTTAGAGTATTTTTTTAAAAAAAATGAAGTGGGTAGCTCGATAAATCAAAAACTATACCAATATGTTACAGTATTATTAAGATATCTATTTAATATCAGGTTTATATCAGACTACATCACTTAGACTATGTTCGGGAATGACGTATCTCGACATTTTTTTGCCACGACTAACCTATCTAAAAAATGAAAAAAAAACTATATAGAAGGTTTCATCAGAGCTGTAGGGCTCCATAGTCAAAATAAGATCTAATTATCGGGTTTTGAGAAGTTATTACTATACTAACTTTTTAAACGGATTAGAATTAGATCTTATTGTTGGCTATAGAGTCCTACAGCTCTAAAGAATCCTTATGTACTGCTTTTTTTTTCATTATGATTACTCTAAACTGTATAAATAATCTAAAATTAAATTGAATTTATTAGTCAATCAGACAAAATTCTGCCTATGATTTTCTGTGTGCGGTATCGATAAGTTATTACGATTAGCATCAATCATTCTATTTGAGTACCAATGTTTAATTTAAATTACGATACGTACGTACGTACGTAACTGATTTTTTGGGGCGACACTACTGAGGTTCTAACCTGGATTGGATTGTCGATTATTTTCATTCGGAGGGAATTATGTAGTGTCACCCCGACTTGTTACACGAGAAGAATGTATAAAACAGAAATTCATTAATTTTGTAATTATAAAAAAAGATGGATTTACAACATCGCTCTGTCACGATTCAATCAGTTCAAAAAGTAACTGAAATAATTGCTGCCAATCCTGGGGCCGCAAAGTCGTACCCAAAAGGTAGAAATGAACCTTCCCCTTTGGATAAACTATGGAATTTTGTCAAATCGCCATCTGGAATAATATCTTCAAATGCTATTAACAAATTGGTTGACCTTGTTCAAGAAGGAATTGTTGATTGGATTGATGCTCTTAACGGGTTAACGGATGCATTATCGTTACTCTCAGGAATTTCTCTTGATAATGCTATAATAGGTATAGCTGATATATTATCAAACCAAGCGTACATAAGTGAATATTATTTTAATCATGGAAGGCATCCTTTTATCATTGTGACAACAATTAAGCCTGAACAAACATGTACTATTTTACTTTCTCAACTTGAAAAGATTTTTGACATATCCAGAATAAAGTATGTTGAAAAAAAGTCAGTGTATATGGAAAATTTATTGAGTATTATGAAGCCATATTTTGATCATGTTTTGTTAGATGGAATGAAAGGAAATATTGAATTTCAGAAGTATTGGTCTTCAGTATTAATACACTTCTTAATTCGTATGATATATCAAGATGTTGCAGAGGAGTTTTACTGGACTTTCAAAGAACAATTATTAGAGTATTTACTCTCTGTTGTTCAAAGAATACCATTGACGCCTATTTTTGCTACCTCCACGAAAAATTATATCACCTCCAATTCTATTTACATTCTCATGCAATCTCTTGTTCAAGTTGTTGGTGTAAATTTTGTTCGGAATGGATTGAGTACAGCATTTTTACAAAAGTTTAACAATGTCCTTGGAGTGCAGATTTTGGCACTTGCTTGTGATGCACGTCATGCAAATTTATCAACAAATTATTATGTTTCATTATTTTACAAAATAATAATGCATCAAGATGATTATCTATCACAATCAAGTTTTATTTTGATCTGGCCAACGTTATCTTTTTTGCTTCTTAATACACAGTCTAGTGATGACCAATCCATGATCCTCGAGATTATGCAAAAATTGATCGAGCTCAAATTAAAGAACATTAATGACAGAGCTGTTCCACCTGCATTGATTTGTGTTGCAATTTTGCCCTTATTCCAAGTAATTTCTGATTTGGAAAAAAGTGAGTCAAGGAATATTGCATCCGAAATACTCTTGATTATTCAAAAATTTCAAACGTTACAATACATGCCTTTGGAATTTAATGAGGTAATGTTTAACCATAATACCGCAAATTTAGTTTAATATTGTCTAATCTAGACTATGTAGCAGGTTTCCATTCTGCTCAAATCACCATGTGTTACTGGCACAATATCGTTAATATTATCAGAGATAAATTGTCTTGTAAATTCCTTTTCTGCACATTCCTTACATGACTTCAAAACTTTGGAATCATATTTTTCCACGCTATTTTATGTTCCTTACTTATATCATCACGATGTTTCCACAAGAATTTTAGCTTTAAATCATCTAACTTCAATAATTAATAGTGATTTTATTTTGATTCAATCACAAAAATTTCCTATTTTTTTGTTGTTTCTTTATGTTTTGCGTAATGATAGTAGTACATTGGTTCATCTTCATATTTTACACCATTCTTTACCTTCGTTGGTTTCAACTACCGATTCAACTATTACTGCAAAAGTTTTGAAAATTACCATGAATCTTGTTAATAAGCAGGAAATAAACAAGGAAACAAATTTAAACGCATTTGGAATCAGGATGTTGTATAAACTCTGGTTGAGGCAAAGAAGATGTTGGAGACAATTGCGATTCATATTATCGGAATGGACAAAGAAAAGAAAATTACAAGTCTCTACATACGATGACACTAAGAGTGAAGTTGAGTTGGCAGCTTTGTCAACTATTAGGTGTGATGACTTTTCATTCCTTTTAATATTTATTCATAAAGTAAGATGTTAAAAGTAAATAATTTTTCAGAGATATTTGTAAATCTAAAGGAAGGGATTATGCCGAAGATTTACTTCCTTTCATATCAAGTTTACTTCAATCTGTAATTTTACATCCAAAGAGCTTATATTTGATCATAGAAACGCTAAATGCATGTATAGAGGCCAAAGTGGTAGAAACTAGGGCAGGTAATTTTAATTTTAAATTATTTTTACTTAATATCCTAATTACTATATACATGTCAACGTATTGTTCATTCATATATAGTTTGGATCGTATTAATGTCTTATATTGCCGATGCTATTATGCAAGCCAACAATTTGAATGTACATTTAGTATCAGGGTTATGTCAGTTTTACAAATTAATTGTCCAGTATGGAGATGGTAACTATATATATATATATATTTATTTATTTAGAATATTATACTCTTTATTTATTTATCATAAGGAATTAACATATTTGTCAAAATATTATTTAGACACTGACGTTTACAATGAATTCAAGAAAAATATATTAGAATCATACTTGTGTCCACTTATATTTCCTCAAAAAAAATTGTATACATCAAATCCAGACCAAGAAGTTCTTGTTGATGATTCTGTTTTGTTTAAAATTCAGCAAGATTACAAACTCCTAAAACAGGGCCTTATTGCTATTTCGCAATATAATGCAACTGATATATTGTCAATCTTTCCCACATCATCTGAAATATTGCTATCTCAAATTTTTAATTTGAATGAGAGATGTTGGAGTCTGAGTCAAGTTGAAGAATGGCAATTTGTATTAAGTAATATCATTTCACATGAAGTCCATAACATGAGACGAAGTCTATTAAAGGGCGTTTCTGTTGATGTTAATAGTGGCAAATCAGCCACATCATCATCCGAAAGTACTAATCTCTTTCAAAGTAAAAAGGATAAGGTGGCATCTATTGCTATAAAAATTGTGGACGACTGGGAAAATGATATAGTTAGTCCTGGTTTACGAGCTGGATATTCATTAGCTTCATTGATCTGTTTTAATCCACAAATTGATGATTCTGATAAATTGAAATTACAATCATTAAACGAATTAAAAGATTTCAAAACCACAAGATTTTATAAATTGATGGCAAATGCTATTCAAGATATTAAATTAACTGATCATTGGGTAATCCGATTAAGTATTGTAACGGATTGGTGCAATTTTTTTGAAAAAGGTTTGCAAGAAGTGTTGTATGCTACAGCAGAAAAGAACGGAAACGAAGAAAAGATTTTAAAGATTTTAATGGATGATTTGATGAAACGACTAGACGAAGCAAGGTTCCCTTTTACTTGTCAAAATATAATTTTAGCACTTACAGGTATTATATTTGCTTTGAAAACAAACTGTTTGATTATGTCATGCTTAAAATTTATTGCCATGTACGATTAGGTTTATGCCTCGCACTCAAATCGTTAAATATATTATCATGTCAACAATATGTTATAACCACGTTGCGTCACTTTTTGGACCATTATTTCGTTGATGCGAATTTGGCGGTCAAACACCAATACGAACATCAACACCAGGATTCAAGTCTTATAACCAGTGATGACGTTCAATTCGCTGTCGCAATGGCTTTGGGATATTTATCCACATTGGTAATTATGAATGAAAAATTAGTACAAGAAGTGGTCGATAATTTAGTTACAAAATTAAGTGAAGATACAACGTAAGCAATATTCTTTTTTTGGTTTGTAGTTTTGATAAAACATACGATTAATTTATACAATAAAAAAAAAAAACCTTTTAAAGTTCTACAACAGGATGGACTTTATTTGGTGCAGGATATTCGCTTGGAACACTTTTATCATATCTTGCTTCATCTCCAATGAAGACGTCTTTAATGTCAAATATTTGTTCGCAAACAATGTCATTTCTCTACGATTTCATTTCAAATTTACCTTCAGATGATTCAGAGCAAACTAATTCACGCTTAGGTGTTATGATTGGACTTTCAAACGTTGATTGTGATGATGAACCAGAAGCTGAACGAATATATCAAATGGCATTATCCGATTTAAAGAAATTTGTTGAAAGTGATGGAAAGGTTGATAAACATATCAAAAATAGGATTGCTGGATCCGCATGGTTTGTTAGTTTTTCGAGAGGTAGGAATCTGAACGAAGAAATTATTGAAATTTTGGAAAAAGCAACAAAAATTTCGAGCGCTAAAGTAAACCTAAAAATTTTATTATCTTTTTTTAATTTCTTTATTAATTTACGCTGCATTAATTTACACTGCATAATTATTATATTAATCTAGAGCGAGATGTCCGAATATTATTTTCATTTTTCACAATCTTATTCGCATGCTTTACAAGATATTCTCCAAGTAAAGCAATCGTCGCATAACTTATCATCATTTAACGCACATTTAAATTCATGTACTCGCACGCTTACAACAATCGGTACAAATACATCGAAACGGCATACTGCTTTGATAACAATAGGATCACTTGCAGGTGTTGACTACTTTACACTTCCTTATCATGCACGAAATAGAAATTTTTATTTCTTTTCCTCAGCTTCTTCTGCTATTGTTACGCAAGTTTTGGATGCTTTGCAAAATGTTGCAGGACTTGGATCACATAATTCATCTTCAGGAATGATTATGAGCGATGTTAAAGGTGGAAGATTAGCTGTAATTATTTTGGGACAATTAATGCGGGTTGTCGAAAGAATATCCGAAAATACCGCAATGCTTATCGGTGATTCTGCGAGGTCTGTTACGAGCAGTACTGAACCTAAAGACTATACCAGACTACCTGCTTCAAGTTATTTGAAATTTATGTTTGATCATCTTGTAGGGCTTTCATTAGGTAAAACATTTTGTTAATCTTGTAATATTATTAATTTTTATTCACTTGTTATTTATTGTACAATAATATTAGAGAACCGTCCATCAGACTCATCTATTGAAGCAGCGAGTTTGATTATTTCCACATTCTCTAAAATAAGTACTATTCTTCCACCAGTAAACTGGTTTCCTCTTCTTGTGCGATTCAATGAACCTACTTATATGAAATTTGATTTGAGATTTCAAATTGTTATAATGGCAATACGACATTGTTCTCGTTCAATATCATTAATGGAATTCCTTGTACACACATTAATCGAGTTCCCAATTATATGTTCAGATGGTAATGTTGATATAAAATTTAAAACCTTACTTATTCGTGAAGGACTTGGAAAAATTCTTGAATTATGTGGATTTGAAAAAGTCATTAATGAAGCAGAGGACAAACAATCTACTCAGATGCGAGGAGTAGAAAGTATTGCAAAAAAAGTAGTAGTACCAAATTTAAGAGTATTAGATATTGTTGATAAAATGACATCTTACTTATTTGGCAATTCAGTTAGTCCAGAAAATGAGGTGTGTATTAAGAACATATTGCGTAATTGCTGGCTGTATTAACCGTTCATTTAATATTTAACATTTAGGAATTACAAGTTATTTTCCTTACCACAATGAATGAATACATTTCAGTAATAAACACTAAAGACGCACCATCTGTTGGAGCTTTAGTTTCGCTTCAACAAGAACTCATTAGTTTATTGAAAGTTATTTATTATGAGCTTCCTACGCCTTTAACAGAAAAGCAGGCCCAGATAATTCGTCTTGTAGCACAATCTTGCGTTTTCGGCATTGAAGATATAGAAGACAATTTAATAAAGAGCACTGTTACCATCTGTACAATGTCTGAATTAGGCCGTATTGATATTACAAAGCATTTAGCAAGGGTTTTGCAAAATTGTTTGACTACCTTTAATGATAAAACTCAAATTAAAACTTTACCTTATTCCTTTCCTTTTGCATGGATACATAGGGCTATTTATGTTGACATACATGGTAATAATAAATCTGAAAATGACAAAAGAAGGTTATGCTTGGAATGGTTGGTTAGACTATTAGATGTAGTAATAGTAACAACTAGTCTACCACTGCAAAAAAAACAATTACATCTTGGTGAGAGTATATTGGAGTGTGGAGTCAATATAGTATTAAGTGGATTGGTAAATTTATGTTGGAAGGAATCTCCAAACATAATAATGAATAAGATACAACCATCTATATTTACTGATTATGAAGTTTGGAATGAAAAATTTATGAAAATTTTGCAAGATATTGTTAGTGTACGAAAACTGTCAATGTTGATACCTAATGAATTTACTTCTAATGAGGACTCAATGGAAATTGTACAAAAGAAGGTACATTTTATTTTACAAATTGAAAAAAAAATTATGAAAATTTTTAATTGTTTAATTTCTTTTCACAGGTTATCAAGAGGTTGCTTAAGCTTCTTGAACTTAGTAAAGAGATAACATCAAAAGATAGAGAGTTTTATTTTATTTTTTATTCAATTTTAATACGTTTAAAAGCTTTTATTTCAGATGAGGATTATCAATTATTGTTAATTAGTGATATTTCATACTACAGTATTTAATAGTATTGTATGACAAAATAAAATATAACAAGCATCTAATGAAACGCAAAAGTGCAAGAATTAAACATGTTGATAATTGGAATCAGCCAAACATTAAAATTAGATTAAAAATAGATAAAGAGCTCTTTATTAGTAACGCATCCTGATCAACCAATTAGATCGTAAGATCAAGTGACCAAAATCGCCTATAACTCAAAATTTCGCATATGCGACTACCTTTTGGCTTTTAACAAAATTTTCTTGCAAGATTTTATTATATACCAATTTTTATAATCACCCTAACGCTAACCTCTAAGCACGTAAAAAAAAAAAAAACACCTGCGCAAAATATTTAAATATTAAAAATAATATTTATAATTTAATTTATAAATACTTAATTAGTAAGCATAAAGGTTATTTTATATTCAAATTTAATGATTGTACAGTACCGGACAGTAAAAGACATCCAATGTTTATTAATAAAAACTTTGAAGTGTTATAACTTTTTAAAACAGGTTAAATCAAAAAAACCTCTGACAATTTGATAGATTTTTGGATAAATTACATTTCTGCCAGAGGATTTTTTTTTATTCTTTGTTTTAAAAAAGTTATAAAGGATTAAAGTTAATATGAGTTTAAAAATTGGCGTTTAATATAAAAAAAAAGAAAACATATATATATTTTTAACCAATCAAAATTAATCACATAAAAATTAGTCAATCAGAATTGATTACATAAACACCAAAAATTGGTGCCTATATGTATTGATTGGATGTCTTTTACTGTCCCATACTATATAAATAAAAAAGATTCTTATAAGGTTCAAATTAAGACTAAAGTGGGTTGTAATTTATAACAATAACAATTCCTAGTGTTCTGCAGAACTGAACTGAGAACTGGCCGATTGGGTTAAGTCAGTTTTATGATTTTAGAACCACTTGATTTCAGTTCTCAGAAGCAGATCCTGATGGACCTGCATAAATTTTCACATGATCTCTAGTGAATAGAATTTTAAGTATTCAATATGTGTATAATATTCCACTATGTAAAAGCAATTTTAATAATATGAGTATGTTACCTAATAAAACCTAATTTCAGTTTTTTTCTAAAAACATATTAGATATAGTTTCTAAAATCTGTAATACATAATTCAAGGTATGTGCTATTTTTAGTTAAAACACCACAATATATATTTTTTTAATTTCATTATGCACCATTTCAGAGACTATGTCCAATACATTTTTATATAAAGAAACCTAAGCTAGTTTTTTTTGTATTTTTGGTAACAGTCATATAATGTTACAAATGAGTAATAAAAGAGAAAATCTGTAAATCATTTTATATAATACGTAAAATAATTTACAGGTTTTTCTTTTTTATTACTTAAATAAAAATAGATCTGTGATTAATATAATGATTAACAATGATACTTTAGAAATCTGACTGCATTTTCATATGATTAAACAACCAAATTAAAGATAATGTTTCAGTAAGAGAACAATCAAAATTTTATAAATATGATAGAATGTAAATTAATTAATTTTGTAAAACATATATATAAATAACAAAATACAATAAAATAATATTTATCTTTAATTTAGTTAACATTAAATTAATATTAATTTATTTAGTTATAGAGACTGGGTCTTGTAAATTAGCAGTTATATCTTTAGGCTTTTACAAACAAAATCAACAGTTGAAGATTTGCTAAAGGCAAAACTAAGTTTGTTTCTGTAATTTTAAGAGATCAAATAATCAAATATAAAGCTTTATAAACCAATTTCAAGTGTATTGTTGGGTTCGGAAGTTTGCGACTCTGTTGCTCCACAATTCAAAACCTTGCATAATGTACGATAAGTAACCTTTTCGAAAGAGGGTGTTAGATTTGGCTGGTGGGCGAGAAAGGCTTCAGTTACTTTGGGTCAACGAATGCAAGTAGGGTAAGTCACGTGTACAAGGGCTTGAATGAACAACGATATTTATGGGGGTTTATAGGGTTTATAACGGTATTAGTGATAGGGTTTTATAATGAACGATATAATGTATTGGGACTTGTTTATTAATGAAGCCAACTGGACATGTCGTCTCTTAGGGCCATTTCAGCCTTTATTTATAATACCTTTTTACTTATAACTTCATTAATTACATTTATCTTTTTAAACCCTTTAATTCGATTTCTCTAATTTATTCACTTAAACCCGTTTACTTAATAAATCCCCCTTATCTAATTAATCCTCTTTATCTAATTAATTCCCTTTATCTAATTAATCCCACTTCCTTGATTTATTTAATTAATCGCATTAATGCGATTAATTGCCGGCATGTCTATTTCGAGGAATTGATCGTCGTATCCGTCTCACGTGAGGTCTCGGCAGAGTATTTACGTCACGTTATCGGGCCTCACAGTATGTACAAATTTAATAAGAAAATTTTTAAAAGAAAATCTAATTGTAAAATGTAGACATTATATGTAATAATGATATTTTAGAAAATTTTAGTTATATAAAAATTATGCATGTAAGTTTTCAAGACAAAAAGGTAATACTAATATTAGCATTTTTTAGTGAGTCAATATCAATATCTTTATATCTAACTTGTGAAATACTTGTTTAGAAGGGTAATTATTAAGTTGTGCAAAGAAGTTCTACTAAAATGTATAGAAGTAGTATTTGATTAAGAGTATAATCTAAATAATTAAAAACTAGAATAATAAATAAAGTGATAAATATAAGAATATGTTATAATAAAGGATTAATTTTACTAATTATGAAGCATTTTTAGCAAATCATAACAAGAATACTATAAAAGATCAATACATAGAAGTAATCTAATGTTAGGCCTAATAATGTAACATGAACACTTTGCTAAGACCTTATATAAAAACAGATATAAAGATCAATTTCTTGATATGGATATTTTAGTAATTAATTGTATTAATATAATTTATTAAATATATTAAAAAAAGATAATTTAATGACAAAAAGAGATTTAATTATTATAAAAGTTTATATAGATAAATTAAAAGTATCAAATTAAATAAAAAAGAAATAAGAGCATAAAATTACAACTCTTTCCCATAGATTCTAATTTACTAAGAAAAATAAAAAATCAGAAATATACAATAGAAAACCAGTAAAGAAAACTAAATAACCATACAGCAAAGCTCATATTGAGCATAA